GAGACTGTGGGCGGTCCCCCCTGCTTCCGCCTCCTGCCTGCGTTCGGGCTCAGGAAAGATCACCTCCCTCCGGAGGTGGGTGGAGGCCTCCCCGGGCTGCTTGGCAGACGCGCAGGGGAAGCCGGGGTCAGTGTGTCTGCGTGCGCGGCAGCACCTACGGAGGCCACGGACGACTAATCACGAGTGGCCAATCGGCCCGGTTCCCGTCCCGACTTTAATAAACACACGTGTGCCCAGCCGGCTCGGGATACTCAGAGTCACCCCGCCCGGAGAACAGCCCTCTCCGAGCCGGTCAGAGGGACTGTCCGCCATCCTTAAGTAAACATCAGAGTCCCCGAAACGGAAGGGAAACTGACTGTTCCTCACGTCAAAGTCCAGGGCAGACTCGCTGAGGGGCCTTCCATCCAGCCCAAAGGAAAAACGTGGAGAGTTCAGCACAAAGCACACACCTGAGATGGGTTTCCAGTCCTCGGGCTGGAGCCTGGATTCGAGACACCCTTGCTGTCCCTGCACAGGGTCACTGAGTGAAGCAACGCCCTCGTCCAGAGCCACCCCCCAGCACGGCTCTAAACGTCCTGGCTTCACTGTTCGAACATCCACACACTCACTTCCACCCTCGTAGGGAAGCGCTCCCCCGTGGAGGGGGGTCCTGGGCCACCCGAGGTCCTCCGGGGGTGACGGCGGCAGCGCTGGCCTCGCTGCCTGGACCCGGCTGGACGCAGCCTGTGAGTGGCTGCTCTCAGAGGTCCCGCCCCCGTGCCGACACCACGGATGCCTTTGGACGACGCTGTCGAAGCGAGGACGGCAGGATCAGCCTTCTGGGGAGGATGGGGGTGGACGTGCAAGGTCCTCCGCCCTTGGACCTTGGAGATCCTCACTCAGCCTCATCTGTACCCTTGTTCTCCCTTTAACTCCGGCCGTCTCTCCCTGGAGGGCGGGGCCGCCCTGCTGCCCAGTGGTTATCGTGTCCACTTCAGAGATGAGGAATTGGCTCAGAGAGGCCACCTGACCTGTGGGAGGTGAGAACACGGCGGGGAGTGGACTCGGAGCTCCGGCCTCCGGTGCCCGGGGTCTACGCTGTGCTCACCGCGGGCCCGGGCGGGGCCTGGCTGACCGTGACTACATCGCAGCCGCAGCGTGTAATGGCAGCAGGAACCGCGATGAGAGAGGGAACTCCGAAAGCGCGTCATTAAACGCCCCCTTGAAGACAGAGCTCAGGACCTACTAGACTTCCTCACGTCCCAGGGAAGGACCCAGGACGGGGCTGCACATCTATTACAGACACTCGGTCTTCACGCACAGGCGCCCCGCGAGCAGGGCGCTCGGTCCACGGGCAGCCGGTTTCCTACCGTGGCCATCACCCACCCCCCACTGCCCGCACGTGACGCCCCGTCAGTGTCGCCTTTGATACAAATGCTCGTTCTCCCGCTGCTGAAATGACCTCCATCCACGTGGGACCTGGGAGGCGGCGTGGAGGGGGAGGGACGCGGCGAGAAGCCCAGTGCTCTGCGGTCGGGATGCCCCTCCCGGGTCCCCGGCTACGGGGCTGACTCCCCGTCTGCTGCAGCCGTGAAGGGTCCCGTGACGTCACATGACGAGGGGAAAGATGCTGGTGTGAGTAATCGCTAACGTTTGATTGGCATGGAGCTCAGTTAACGTGTGGTGCCTAACTGCCGGCCTATGCTGGCCTCAGGCGCACACCGGGAGGCCTGGAGGCCTGGGGGGTTGTGTGGGGGTGTGTGTGTGTGTGCCGGACACGGCTCCTCGCTGCGCTGCCTCAGGAACACGCCTGCAGGAGGCCCCGTGCCGCCGCCTGCCCCCACCATTTAGGAGACACTAGGCTTCCCACAGACGCGTCCTCCGATCGACAGGAACATGCCTGTGTGTCGTGTGTAACCCAGGCAACCACACCTCCTGCTCCAGGAATGTCCCCTCAAGGTCACTCCACCTGGCAGACTGGCCAACAACATCCCATTTCCACGCACTGTTTTTCCATGTGGACGGTAAGCTGGTGGCTGGCTGAGAGCTCGTGCTGTCAGGGCCCTTCAGCACCCCGGCCAGCGCACCCCCCCAGGCCTCCATCAGCAGGTTCTCAGGATGAGGGAGGCTGCGCGACCTCCTCCCCAGAGGCCAATCCCCCGGGCTCAGCGGGTCTTCGGGGCGAGGGCTTCGAGCTGCGGACAAGGGCCGCGTGTGGGGGCCTTCCCTCCCGGGTGGGTGAGAGGACATTCGGGACGGGCTGGACGGGCACGGTCTTTACCCGTAACTTATCGTGCATTTTAATTCCCTTGGGAAGGGCTGCCTGGGGGTTGCGCCAGGGGATGTGTCCGTTATCAGTTTAAAGGATTTATTCCAGTTTTGCTAAGGTGAGTAACAGCTATTTATTCTAAAAGCACACAAAAAACCCGCTTCAAAACCAAACTCTCACGTCTGCCTTTTCACTCCTTAGCGTGGCCTTTCCCAGGGTCCTCGGTGTGGCACCCACTGCCTGGCCAACGCGTCCCTCTGGATGCCAGAGCGCCCACCTGGGCATCAGAGAGCTGCCGTCTGGGCTGGGTCTACGTCGCCCAACACCCACGGTCCTGAGAATCCGAGCAGCCTGGGCTCGCCCACCCGGGCCGGTCAGGGGAGAGCGATGGGAAGGCAAACGCCACCAGAACCCCCTGGAGGCTGCCTCACCTGGGAGAAGGGACGATGACACACAGATGGGGGGCCCACCTCCGACCGCTCAGAGCAGACACGGAGGGAGGCTCGCGGGCCTGGAGTGGCATCGCCAGGGGCTTGGTCCCAGGCCGCCAGCCCACTCCGGGGGGTGGGAGGGGGAAGGGGGAGCAGATACAGGCTTTCTGATCTCAGGCCACCTTCCCTTTCTCCTCTGGATAGAATATGGGCAGATTGCCTTTCTTCCGAGTTGAAGGCGCCAGCACCCATACCCTGGACTGTAAGGCACCTCGGGGTCCATGGGCTGCATCCTGCCCCGGGCAGTGGGGCAGTGACTGGGCCGCGTGCACTGCCCAGCCCACTGTCTGCGGCCGCAGCGTCCATCCTCCAGGCCAGCTGACTGGGCGAGGGCCTGCTGTGGCCGGCAGCCAGGAGTCCGCCTGGGCAGGCCAGTGGCACCATCTCGCACGAGAAGCCAGCTGAGCCCATCTTCCTGCCGGCGGCCCACCAGTGCCCTCTCCGGAGCCGTGGCCTGGGGGAGGGTTCAGAGGCTGGAAGCAGTGCAGGCTTTGGGAATGGAAGTTTCCAGCAAGGCTCAGCCGTGACCCAGGACCCCAGAGGCAGGGGAAGGGGAGCCAGAGCCAGAGCCTGGTGGAGGCTGAGCACAGGGCACAGTGTCCGGCTGTGACCTGGAGGACCAGCCGCGGGAGGAAAGAACCGATCCCGGTGCCAGGAGCCTCGCAGTGGCGCCAGCTTGACGTCCTTAGGAGCGGACAGGTCTAGGATGTTCCTCTCTCAGGGGAACGCATCCCTGTGGCAACCTGTCTTTAGCCCGCAGCCTGAACCACACCTTCCCGTTCACACCAAGTGTTTAGGCCCCTTTCTGTCTGTGATTGAAGAGGCCTCCTTCCTCTCACATGACAGCTCTGCCCCACGAACGTGTTCCCTTTCTCATCTCTAACCCTCCTACATGGCGCCAGGGAGACCCCTGGGAGCCGGGCAAGGGAGGCGCCCGTGGGGGCGGCAGCTGCAGAAGGGACAGCTCCTCATGTTTAAGTTCCCACTGAATCCCCTCTATCAATCCATTGTCCTGCCCGCCCCCTCACCCCCCCCCCAAAGCAGCAATAACAACCCACTAAAAATTCCCATGCAGTAGAGCGTGCTCAGCAACCCCGTCTCGGCCCCGCCTCCCCGCCTCCCCGCGAGCTAAGGTGGGCTTTCTCCTCTTAAGCCTGAATAGGATTTCTTTTCTGCCAGCGCAGGGTGGGCGACTTCTTAACGATCTTTAAGGAAAGAACCCTGATGGAAGGAAAATATCCTCTTTTAATCCCATTTTCCTCCTCACCCCACACTGAGCTGTTGCTATAGCAACCTGCTCCCTGCTCCCGGGACCCCTGTGAGGTGACCGAGCGCTGCCTTCCGCTCGGAGAGGGGACCGCTGTGCATTGACCGGTTTCCCGAGTCTAAATCCTCAGTTCACCGTGCGCTTAATCTAGGCTTCCCTGTGGCTAAACGCCGAGACTCACTTCTCAGCTCCCAGCGCCATAATCCTCCAGCCTTGAGCACTGAACGCAGCAGAAATGAATCCACATTTTCCCCTTGATGTGATAGCTTCCGTTTAGAGGATGCCCTGGTGAGGAAAACAATTTTTGTAAAAATCTTCCGTACTCCTCCGCCAACCCTTCTTTCCTGCCTTCCGCATGTTTGTTTATATATGTAACTAGAGGCCCGGCGCACGAGATTTGTGCACGGGCGGGGTTGGGGGGGGGTGGTGGTGGTGGTGGTGTCCCTCAGCCCGGTCTGCACCCTCTCCAATCTAGGACATCCCTCTCACAATC